ATCCATCTTGTTGAGGGTTTTCCTCTTTTTCGATGACCCTCTGTTTCACTCAGCATGATGTCCTTCTCCAGGAATTAGTCCCTCCTGATAACATGTCCAAAGTATGTGAGACACAGTCTCGCCATCCTTGCTTCTAAGTAGCATTCTGGCTGTACTTCCTTCAAGACCGGATTGTTTGTTCTTCATGTAGTCAATGGTATATTCAATATTCTTCACCAACACCATAATTCAAAGACATCAATTCTTCTTAGCTCTTCTTTATTCATTGTCCAGCTTTCACATGCATATGAGGCGATCAAAAACACCATGGCTTGGGTCAGGCATACCTTAGTCCTTAAAGTGACATCCTTCCTTTTTTAACACTTTAAAGAGGTCTTTTGTAGCAGATTCGCCCAATGCAATGCATCTTTTGATTTTTTGACTGCTGCTTCCATGGGTGTTGATTGTGGTTCCAAGTAAATGAAATCTTTGGCAACTTCAGCCTTTTCTCTATTTATTACGATGCTGCTTATTAGTCCAGTTGTGAGGATTTTAGTTTTCTTTATGTTGAGGTGCAATCTATACTGAAGGCTGTAGTTTTTGATCTTCAGTAAGTGCTTCAAGTCCTCTTTACTTTCAGCAAGCAAGGTTGTGTCATCTGTATCTCATATGTTGTTAATGAGTCTTCCTCCAATCCTGATGCCCCATTCTTCTTCATATAATACAGCTTCTTGGATTATTTGCTCAGCATACAGATTGAATAAGTATGGTGAAAGGATACAACCCTGACACACACCTTTCCTGACTTTAAACCACGCACTATCCTCTTGTTCTGTTTGAATGACTGCCTCTTGGTCTAAGTACAGGTTCCTTATGAGCACGATTAAGTGTTCTGGAATTCCCATTCTTCGCAATGTTATCCATAATTTGTTATGATCCACATAGTCAAATGCCTTTGTATAGTCAATAAAACACAGGTAAACATCTTTCTGGTATCCAGCCATGATTCATCTGACATCAGCAATGATATCCCTTGTTGTTCCATGTCCTTTTCTGAATCCGGCTTGAATTTCTGGCAGTTCCCTGTCAATGTACTGCTGAAACCGCTTTTGGATGATCTTCAGCAAAATTTTTACTTGTGTGTGATATTAATGATATACTTCTATAATTTCTGCATACTGTTGGATCACCTTTCTTTGGAATGGGTACAAATATGGATCTCTTCCAGTCAGTTGGCCAGGTAGCTGTCTTCCAGATTTCTTGGCACAGAATCAAACAAATGGAAAATAACAAGAGTTGAAGTGGATGTGGAGAAATTGGTACACTGCTGGTGGGAATACAAAATGATGCAACCACTGAAGAAAATAGTTCGGTGGTTCCTCAAAAAGTAAACATAGAATTATATGATCCAGCAATTCCATCCTAGCAATAGACCCAAAACACTGAAAGCAGGGGCTCAAACAGATACTTACACATTAATGTTCATTGCAACATCATTCACAATAGCCAAAAGGTAGAAATAACTCAAGTGTCCAACACCAAATGAATGGAGAAGCAAAATGTGGTATATACATACAATGAAATATTATTCAGTCATAAAAAATGACGTTCTGATACATGCTGCAACATAGATGAACCTTAAAATAAGCCAGACACAAAAGCATAAGTATGTATGATCCCACTTAAATGAAGTATCTAGAATAAGCAAACTCATGGAGACAGAAACTAGGCTACAGATTATAAGTGCCAGATGGAAGAGGAGTTGGGAACTGATTGTTTAATGGGTACAGGATTTCTATTTGGAGTGATGAAAAATTTTGGTGATGGCTGCACAACACTGTGAATGTACTTAATGTTACTGAACTGGAAACTTAAAAATGGTTGAAATGGCAAATTTTATATATTTTTTACCACAATAAAAAATTTTTTTAAAAAAAGAGCTAGAATCTATGAAGAGAGGAAGAATGCCAGGAGACTTGAGGAGCTGTGAAGAGAAAGGGAAGGGTGTAGAGTTTTGAAAGAACATCAGTGAGGAATTGCTCCTACACTCTGGCTAGCTCTGGTAATGATTTTCCTACTTGTCTTTGGAAATGGGGAAAAGCTGGAGCCAGGGTCTCCCATCCTAAGGCAGCAAGCTCAAAGACAGACTTTTCTGCTCAGACACCAGTTAAAAGCAAATTGCACATGCTATAACATGAATGAACCTTGAAAACATTAGGCTAAGTAGAAGGCAGTCCTTCCAATGGAACAAGGGGATACTGCGTGATTTAAAATCAGAAAAGGTGTGCATCAGGGTTGTATTCTTTCACCATACTTATTCAATCCGTATGCTGAGCAAATAATCTGAGAAGCTGGACTATATGAAAAAGAACGGGGCATCAGGATTGGAGACTCATTGACAACTTGCAATATGCAGATAACACAACCTTGCTTACTGAAAGTGAAGGCGCCTTGAAGCACTTATTGATGAAGATCAAAGACCACAGCCTTGAGTATGGATTACACCTCAACATAAAGAAAACAAAAATCCTCACAACTGGACCTATAAGCGACATCATAATAAACAGAGAAAAGACTGAAGTTGTCAAGGATTTCATTTTACTCAGATCCACAATCAACGCCTGTGGAAGCAGCAGTCAAGAAATCAAAAGACGGGTTGCACTGGGCAAATCCACCACGAAAGCCATCTTTAAAGTGTTAAAAAGCTAAGATCTCATTTTGAGGACTAAGATGTGCCTGGCCTAAGCCATGGTATTTTTAATCGCCTCATATGCATGTGAAAGCTGGACAATGAAAAAGAAAGAAAGAAGAAAAATTGATGCCTTTGAATTATGGTGTTGGCGAAGAATATTGCATCTACCACGTATTGCCAGAATAAGGAACAAATCTGTCTTGGAAGAAGTACAGCAGAATACTCCTTACAAGCAAGAATGGCAAGACTTCGTCTCATATACTTTGGACATGTTATCAGAAGGGACTGATTCCTGGAGAAGGACATCAAGCTTGGTAAAGTAGAGGGTTAGTGAAAAAGAGGAAGACCCTCAATGAGATGGATTGACAGTGGCTGCAACAATGGGCTCAAACATACCTAGTATTGTGAGGATGGCACAGGACTGGGCATTGTTACGTTCTGTTGTACATAGGGTTGCTATGAGTTGGAACCAACTTGACAGCACCTAACAACAAAGAGAAGCTACATACAGAATGCCACATACTGTTTGATTCCATTTATATGACCTGTCTAGAATAGACAAGTCCATAGAGACAGAAAGCACATTAGTGTCTGTGAGGGGATTAGGGTAGGTGGGAATGGGGAGTGACTGCTAATGAATACAGGGTTTCTGTTTAGGGTGATGAAAATGTTCTGGAATTAGTGGTGATGGTTGCACAACCTTGTGAATATACTAAAAACCATGGAATTGTACACTTGAAAAGGGTGAATTTTATCATATGTGAATTACATACCAATTTTTTTCTTTTTTTATATTGTGCTTTAAATGAAAGTTTACAATTCAAGTTAGTTTCTCATACAAAAATTTACACAAAAATTTATTGTTATGTGACACTAGCTGCTCTCCCTATACTGTGACAGCACACCCCTCCTTTCCACCCCCGATTTCCCGTATCCATTCAACCAGCTCTCTGCCTTCTTATCTCGCCTCCGGACAGGAACTGCCCATTTAGTTTCATGTATCTACTTGAGCTAAAAGGCACTCTTCACGAGTATCATTTTATGTCCCATAGTCCAGTCTACTCTGTCTGAAGAGTTGGTCTCAGGAATGTACACACCAATTTTTTAAAAATAGGTGAAAAAATCCAATTGCAGCCAGTACTTTGGCCTCAGGTGTCCCTGGGTGGTTAATGGTTAATGCCCTTGGCTGCTAACAGAAAGGTTGGAGGTTCAAGCCCACCCAGAGATGCCTCGGAAGAAAGACCTAATGATCTGCTTCCAAAAAATCAGCCGTCAAAAATTCTTTGGAGGACAGTTACTCTCTTACAGACATGGGGTCACCAAGAGTTGAAATCAACACTACACCTTGCTGCAGGGTGGTCCTCTCCCTCTAGAGGAAGGGCCCTCAGTGTGTGGTCCCCAGACCCACAGAATCAGCATCATTAGGAAATTATTAGAAATGCAAATTATCAGGCCCCACTCTAGAGCTACAGAATCAGAAACTCTGGGGTTGGGGCCCACAATCTGCATTTTAACAAGTCCTCCAGGTGATTCTTGGAGCCCTGGTGGTGCAGTGGTTAAAAGCTCGGCTGCTAACCAAAAGGGTGGCAGTTTGAATCCACCAGCCACTCCTTGGAAGCCCTATGGGGCACTTCTACTGTGTCCCATGGGGTTGCTATGAGTCAGAATCAACTCGATGACAATGGGTTTGGTTTTTTCCCGGTGATTCTGATGCCTGTCCTTAAGAACCTCTGTTCTAGGGCAAAACTTTTTCTGTAAAGAGCCAGATAATGTCTTAGCTTTGCATGTCACATATATAAAGTCTCTGTCACATATTCTTCATTTTATTTTTTATTTTTACAACCCTTTAAAAATGTAAAAAACATTCTCAGCTCCTAGGTGTACAAAAGCAGGTTGTTGTTGTGTGCCATCAAGTCGATTCTAACTCATAATGACCCCATGGGCTAGAACAGAAATGCCCCACAGGGTTTTCTAGGCTATAATCTTTACAGAAGATTGCCAGGTCTTTCTCCTGCAGAGCTGCTGGGTGGGTATGAACAGCCAGCCTTTCGGTTACCAGCTGAGCCCTTAACCACTGTGCCACAAAAACAGGTAGCAGGCCAGATTTGGCCCCTTGAAGCATGATTTGTCGACCCCTGCTCTAGGGCAACTCGATTCCCATTCTGTGAGGCCTCTGGGTTTCCAGTGAAGACAAGCAGACTTTCCCCAGTTAATCAGGAAGTGAACAATGGCCTCCAGACATCAGACAGGTTCCCCATACAGTTGTGTACCCTCCATGCCAAGGCCAAAGTTGAAGGCAGGAGGCTTTATTATCTTACTTTGCAGACAGTTCATTGTACTCCTTAAATTTATTTCAGTTCACAGTAATATCCTTTGAACAGAGTCAGCAAATTCTACCAGACAAAATTCACATACACATTAACCCCAGGTAAGCCACAACACTCCCTGAGGAGCTGGAGAAATTACCTAGGGCAGCCAAGCTGGGGAACGGAAGTGGCTTGGCGTTGCTGTGTGTCCTTTAAGGCTTTTTGGTCCTGGTTGATTTCCTCTTGGAGGTGTCCAAAGAAAACTTCCCTTTCCCACTCAGCACACCCCAGTCTTGCTTTGGTATCTAACCCAATGGGCTGAGGAAGGGAGGTAGCCAGGAAATTACACTCATTAAAATCTGAGGTTAATGCCTACGTATATCCCGTTCATTCGCAGTTAGTGGATTTATCTTTTAAAACAGAGGTATGAGGCAATGGGAGGAAGAAAACTTCCAGAATCATAGAGAAGATCCCAAGAATAGATTTGGACATGATTTCAGGACAAGAGAATAAAGTCAGTGTCAATAGGTAGGGCCCGAAGTACTGTGAAACGCTGCTGCCCAGCATGATGGCCTTTTTGTAGCACTAGTAACTCCTGGGTGCCTGAGAAACTCAACTTTAACAGCACTCCCAGAGAAGCTTTCAGACTAGGGGCAATGGGGAGGAGAGTGGGGAAGGGTAGAGATGAGAAGTCAAGGTGACAGACTTCTTTCCCTCACCTTTTCTGAGTGAGGCTAGAATTGCATGGATAAAAGGCACCATTGCTTAGGAGAGGAGGAAAAGTAAGAGAAGGGAAGAGAGCAGGGGTTTCTCTGGGTTCCAGGGACCTTTCCTCAATCTTGGTTGGAACCCAGCATCCCAACAGTTTCCTAATTCCCCCAAATGGTTAGCTGCAGTATCTCTCCCAGGCACCAGCATCTTCTCCTTGAGAAAACTCCAGCTCCTAGTCTCCAGGGAACGGGGGCTGGAAGTAGGGAGCAGATGGAAGGCTTTGGTCTTTGCCCTCCTTGTTCGCTCATATCCCCTGGAGTCTGATAAACCAGGTGCTGGAGCTGGAGGCATGAGGCCTCTTCCCACCCACCCCAAATCCACCCTGGACCTCAGGCATTGTAGGTAAAGAGGAATGAGGGTCCAGGTGTGCACAGCAGCTAAGAAGGAGTTGGTGAATTTGGATGTAGCCTGGTCCTTGCTGGGGCAGGGCATTTACAGACCCTTATTGAAGTAGACATAAGGCACAAGTTCTCCATACTTGGCCCTGACGGTGTCTTGGAGCTTAGGTTCCAGATAGGAAACTGGCAATTCACTGAAAAGAAAGGAGAAGGTTACGAGCTTGCCACCTGGGACAAGCAGCAAATTACCCTCAAATAAAGTCCAACCCAAATGCCACCTCTAAGAAGCCCTTCCAGATTTTTCCAGCCAGAATTCCTAATGGCCTCTGTACACCACAATATGTTGCTTTTACCTCTACTCAGGCCAACTTCATTCACCCTGGTGCTAAAGTTCTTTGTTTAAACTTCTATCTTCTCCACGTGCGTATGTGCTCTTACAAGTACAGTGCTTGATACACAGGCAATGTTAGCACACAAGTACTTAACTAAGAGTACTGAGAACCAGAGATTGGCATCCTCCCTGTATACATTCAAGCTACACCTAGTTTCCTGCAGCCTGATCCCCCACCCGACAGTCTGATGCTTCCTTTCCCTTTTCCATCATCCCCCCCGCTCCCTCCTCCCCATCTAAGATCAGAAAAGGAGAGGTTCAAATAGTCTACTTTCTAGTTAGAATAAGGACCTATCCCCTTGTTCAGTTTTAAAGACCAGATCCAACCCAAGGAGACCCACCCAGTAACCCAGCCGGTACGGAAAGTGCTTGTTCCCTCACCTTCTCTCCAAGGAGCCCTTGCTCAACTGGGAGGGACCAACCTCACCCCTCCTCCTAGCTTCTCCTGCCCTTTGAAGGTCTGTTTTGGTTTGCCATGTAAAGAGGCCCAGAGTTTAGGCCGATGGGCACCTATCCTTGGACAAATGCTGCCCTTCCTGCCCCCTCCTTCCTCCTTCAGGACAGCAGGTAGGTCAGGGTGGTGGTGGCAGGGTGTTTAGTAAAACAAAATGAGGAATGAACAGCTGATACCATGTCTGTGGGAAGAGCCCGCATGCCACTGGCACCATGAAGATGAGGCTGCAAGAAAACAGAAACCAAAGCGTTAGGGGGACCACTTCCCACAGGCCTGCTCAAACACCAGCCCTGAGCTCCCCAAAGGAAGGGGGAGATGCCCATTCACCCAGTCTGCCTCCCAGCTCCTCTCCCTCCAAGCCTTCTCCTGCTCCCTGGATGCCAGGATACTCATTCTGGCCTGGGGAGAAAATCAGCCCCCAAAGTCCAAACAGATGAAGGAGACAATGAAGTCACTAGGGATGCAAGCAGCAGTCCTAGAGACCACAGCATGCCCTGATGTGTAAGGAAGAAGTGATGGGCATGGATCCCAAGGTCCTACTCCTTTATTCATTGAACAAAATCAGTCTAAACCAGTTGCCATGGAGCCCATTCTGACCCCTAGGCTGTTACAACACAGGGAAGGGCAGTTTCTCAAATGTCACTGTGCATACAAATAACTTGAGAAGCTTGTTAAAATTCGGGTGTTGATTCAGTAGGTCTGTGAATGACTGACAGAGTCTTCATTTCTACATTCTCAGATGATGCTGATGATGCTGGTCCAGGACCATGTTTTGAGAAACAGGTCTTACAAAGTTTAAGAATCTAACAGACCTGGCTCCGCATCCCAGCTTTACTACTTACTAGCTGTGTGACTTTGCGCAAGCTACCTCTGAGCCTACAGAGGGAGGCAGCAGTGCATACCTGGCAGTGTTACCGTGAGGATTAAGTGACATAACATACATACAGCATCCAGCCCACGGCAACTACTGGATTGGCAGAAAATAGTATAGCATGATGTTAAGACTGCTAAGGATCAAATTCAGCTCCAGCAATTACCAGCTACATATACTTGAAAAGTTTCTTTATCTCTCTAAGCCTCAATGTCTTCGTTTATAAACGCGGACGATAATTGTATATATGGAGCTCCTGGGTGGTACAAACAGTTAACGTGCTTGGCTGCTAATCAAAAGGTTGGAGGTTCAAGTCCATCCAGAGGCCCCTCAGAAGACAAGCCTGACATCTTCTGAAAATCAGCCCTCAAAAACCTATGGAGCACAGTTCTACTCTGACATACATGAGGTCACCATGAGTTGGAATCAACTTGATGGCAATTGGTTTTAATAGTATTTATACCTCTAAAAAACCAAAACTCCCAAACCTGTTCCTGTCAAGTCAATTACAACTCATAGCGACCCTATAGGACAGAGCAGAACTGCCCCCAATGGGTTTCCAAGGAGCGGCTGGGTGGAGTCAAACTGCCAACCTTTTGGTTAGCAGCCCAGCTCTTAACCACTGTGCTACCAGGGCTCCATATATACCTTTAGGGTGAGAGAATCAGGTGAAGTTATGGATATGAAGCAAAAGTACTGAGGGAGCAGACAGAAAACATTTAAAAAGTATTCATTGTTATTGTTGCCGTCATTAGCCCCACAGCCTTGCAAAACGTGACTGATACCAGGACATGTCCAGCCAATGGGCAGGCACCTAAGAATGCTGTCTTGACTTCCTCCCCTCGAGGCTGGGACACCTGATAGCCCCACCAAAGCTGTGTCTCGTCGTTCTCGTCTCTGCTCTAAAACTGCTCCAGACTGAAGGTCAGCGGTGAGGCTCCAGGATAGAAGGGCACCCGAGCACCCCACTTTCCACACTGACATATGTGGAGAGTCTCACCCAGACTGGTGCCCTCAAAAAAGATGGGGCAAGAGCTTGCCAGATGGACCAGCTACCCTGAGCTCAGCCACTTTTAAAGTCAGGCAAAGGAGCACGTGTTCTCCAACATGGGCTCCAGAAGAAAACAGATCTTGGGTTCCCCAGCCACCCCAGAGCCCAAATCATCAAGCAGGATACTCACGAGCACCCAGACAGCATGACCTGCAATGGGGCATGCAGGACCTTGACTTTCTGCACAAAAACAAACAAACAGACGAGAGAGCCACATGGGCTATATATACCGTAAGGTGAACCCCACCCTGCCCTGCCACCAATCAGCCAGCCAGAGAGAGGAGCCCATAGGCATGGAACTTCTGGCCCTGCAGAAGAGGAGGAGAAGGGGACTCCTCCTGCTTGCCTTGCTCTCTGCAGACAAGGTCAGGAAACCCACTATGATGGGTAAAACAGATGGCCAGGGGGACTGTTATGGACTCTACTTGAGCGAGATGAAGGGGTGGCAGCTAGAGGGAAGGATGGGAGGGTCAGGAGCCCCCAGGCACAGGTGTGGTTGGGGGACTCTGGGCAGGAAAGAAACTGCCACTCACCTTCATGAAATGCAGCTTCTCCAGTTGTTCCATGAGGACTGGTAGTAAGACTGGAAGAGACCAGAGACGAAGCTGGGGGGAGGGCAGTAAGCCTCCCCCTAGAGCCCTCCTGAAGTCAGACCAAGGGCTGAGTGACCCCACCCCCTTCCCAAGAAGCTCCAGGAGTACTTTTATTTGGGAGCAGACTGCATGGGTATGGCCACCCCAACCCCTCTCTCCAAGTCCCAGCAGAACAATGCTTCCCAAACTTCTCAACCTACACACCTGTAATCACATAGTAGGTCATGCACCTCTAGGCCCAAAGCATCCTTCTCAAGACTCAAAATATCTTTGAAGGCCCCTGCAAACATATTTTGTATCCTCCTCTGTAACATAACCCAGGGAAGCTCCACCAGGGAATTTCTTTTCTCTACCACTGTCTCCCTAGCACCCAGCACTGTGTCTAGCACATAGCAGGTGCTTGATGAATATCTGTTGAATGGATATAACTTTCTCTCCCAAATCTCTGATTAACTGATGTTCCAGGAACTACAGTGTGGTTCTCCCATGGCTTTCAGCACTCAAGTAAACCAGTTGGGGAAGCATGGCTGCAGAAGCTGAAGTCCCACCTCCCACTAGAAAGCCAAATGTGTCTGGGGCCTCTGTCATGTTCTCCAGGGCCCCCAGGATGGGAGGGCTTCCCCGTCTTACTCATGCCAGGGGCTGCCATGGTGATCCGAGAAATAACCACTTGGGTGATGCCTATGGCTGCAGCTCTCTGAGGGCAGAAAAGAGTAAGTTGTTAGGAATGACCTTATCCAGTGTACCTGGGGTTGCACTGGAGGACTAGGTGAAGGTCATGGCTAAGTCTGAACTGGTAAAAGGTGAAGGGATGGACCTGCCAGGGGCTGAGTGACCTCACCCAACCCCTTCCCACCCAGCCGGACGTTTATGGCTTCAGGACCAGAAATGATGGAGAAAGGACATGGGAGTCCTGTTCTGAACAGAGAAATGTAGGAAAATTGATGGAAAACAAGAATGGAATCAGAGAGAAGGCTTCTCCATCCTATTTGGAGCCCAGGCCTGCTCTGACCACGAAGGAGGGGGAAGGGCATAGAGAGAAATCCCTCCTCCCACCCCAAAGGAAGGCCTCCACTCACCCGGGAATGACCAATCTCACTGTGATTCTTGTCCTTCACGCAGATGCCCTGGATGAGTTCCCTAAACACAGATAGAAGTTACTGGACTTGGGAAAGGGGTGCTGAACACCTGCCAGTCATGTGACACACAGGAGACCATGACCAGGGCACTCAAGCTCTAGGAAGCCACCTCCTGCAGCCTGGTCCTTTGACCTTCCCTCTGCACTCCAATGAACAGTATCTCAGAAGTGACTGAAGGCCATGGCCAAGAGAGCTGGTCCTGGGCCTGGACTTCCTAGGCTGAATCTGGAACCGCAGTGTGTGACCTTGAGCAAGTTAACTACCCCCCTAAAGCTTCAGTTTTCCTCATCTGAAAAATGAGGATAATCATGGCACCCACTTCATAGGATTTGGTGAGGGTTCAATAAGACAATGCCTGTGAAGTGCTTAGCCCAGCACCTGACACAGAGTGACCATTCCACAGAGAGTAGCTATCATGGCTACTATTCTCAAGCCAGTTCTTGACAGCACACAACCCAGGACCAGGTAGGTGGCTGCAACTCATTCATTTATTGGGAAAGCACAACTGGCTGGGTGAGGAGAAGAGGAGAGGGGCAGTAGATATGCATGACTACCGTGGTAGTGCTCTTTCTACAAGGGCTATTGGGATACATTTCCATCTGCTAGTAGTCCCAAGAAAATGGGGTTTACAGAATTGCTGCTGCTGCTGTTGATGGCAATGATGACAATGGTGACTAACACTTATGTAGCATGTGTTACGTTCCAGGCATTGTTTTGAGTGCTTTATGTACATTAAATCATTAAACCCTCCTAACAGAGGAACACCTAGGCATTCTCTTCCTCAAGAAGCAAAAACTGTGAGACACAACGAGTTTCTCCTTTTACCTTTCCTGCTGAAAAGCTCAGGGCTGGGTGCCTAGAAAACATCTATCTCACAGTACTCCTCTGGCTTCTTTCACAACTTCTTGGTTCTGTTCTGTCTTTAGATATCTGGCTCTGTTATATTTCAGTCTGTAAGCCATCCCTGAGGCTTTGGAAGGAGGCAGTGTTCACAACTTACATAACACAGTTTCAGCTGAAAGGACACGCTTTAGTACAAAACCCCTCAGGTACACCACACCGGAAGTGACTCCCACAACACTCAAAACAAAGACTAACCCTAAGTCACCCCCCACTCCCACGCGGGTAGGAGCAATCCTTAGGGACCCTTTAGAGGCTCAGCCCCACAGCCCGCCCCACACCCACCTCAGCCGCCAAAAGCCGCCATTGCCTTGATTCCTTGTCCTTTCCCTGGTAACCTCGTGGTTTGTAGAGAGAAAAAGGGATTCCTGTACTTACTGCTGTCGCATCATAGGGATGTTGACACAGTTAGCTGCTGCCACAGCAGCAAAGGGCACCCAGCGGCCCACCAGGGGTGGAGCTCTCTGTTGGGATAAGGGAGCAATGGGAGTTGTCAGGCTCACTGGAATGGTAAGGATTTAAGGGCTATAAAATAAAAGCCCTGGTGGTGCAGTAGTTAAGTACTTAGCTGCTAACTGAACTCACCAGCTGCTCTGTGGGAGAAAGATGTGGCAGTCTGCTTCTGTAAAGATTACAGCTTTGGTGACCCTATGCAGCAGTTCTATTCTGTCCTATAGGGTTGCTATGAGTTGGAATCGACTCAAGGGCAATGGATTTTCAGTTATTGCCACAAACACCCAGACACCAAATCTGGGAATCCCAAAGTGCCTCAAAGACCTGAGAAAGATCAACCTGGGACAGCCCTGCTGTATTTCCCCTACTTGTCTGGACTCTGGCCATACCAATTCACCCAGCCTGCAGAAATGGCTGTTTTCCTCAGGACTTTGCTGCCCCCTAGTGGCCACGCTTGCCCACAGCAGCCCCACATCATACCTTTGTCAACAAGTTCATGCCCACAGCAGTGGCCACAGCAGTGGTTGTCGCTGTGAAGTAGGAAAGGGCCATCTGCCTAGTGGAAAGAGAAAGATGCTTTTGGTGGAGGGAGAGGAGGCCTGATGGCTGAGGGCAAAACCATGAGCTTGAGGGAGAAAGTCTGGAAAGGAGGCTCCAGCCTCATCAGAACCTTTGCACTTTGCTGTGCCCTATCTGGAGAATCCTTACCCTTCAGAACTCAGCTGAAATGGTACCTCTACCACAAAGACTTCCCTGACCAGCCTGTCTACATGGACCACCCTCCAGGCCCCCCTGGCTGTTCTCTATCTTGTCACCCTGTTTATTTCCTTAATGGCACCAAGCACAATCAGATCATTGTGCTTGTTTTCTTTTTAGACATGAGACTCTATGAGAGCAAGGACCACACCTGTCTGACTCAACAATGGACCCCCAGCACCTAGAACCATGCCTGGCACATAATACACACTCAAGATATATCTGTAAAATGAATGAACAAGCAAATGAATGAATGAGTGAATGAATGAACACATTTGGAACTGGTCTACCTGACTGATGTGGGGGAAGCCGCATTCCTGTTGGTATAGTTGACTAAGGCATTGAAGGACTGGTTCACCCACTGCCAGAAGACTACCGCCGGCATCGTCCTACCAGTAAGGGAGGCCAAGAAAGAGAGGGGAAGAGGAGGATGGAGGGAAGGTTTGGTGTACATCAGCCAAGCCACGTCATCTGCAGTTCCTCAAACTGTTCCTGTGCTGTTTTATGCACCTGGGCTTCACCCAGGCTGTCTGGAATACCCTCCCTCTCCTCCTGTACCTGGCAAAATCCTGCTAAGAAATCACTTCCTCCTTGGAACCTTCCCCATCCTTCCTCTTCCCGTCCTGAGACAGGGTTAGCCGTTCCATGCTCCCTGCTCCAACAATCCCATATCCTTCCCCCAACCTACCACTTACCAAGCTGTATTGTAACTGTTTACCTCTTGGTCTCCTCAACAAAACTGGGAGCTCCTTGAGTGGGGGGATTAAGTCTACATTCCTAACACCTGGCATAAGGCTTGGCTCTACAAAGGCTGACTGAATAAATGAGCGAACAGAATCAGGGAAGAAGGGGGAAGAGTTATACATCCAGCAGCTAAATAAAGTTTATTCTCTCCCCAACTGAACTGAAACAAAGGTTCTTCCTATTTTTTTTTTTTATTTTGATGTTGCATTATAAAAAATACATTAAATTCATTGTTGAATAAGTACTTTTAAAAGAGGAATTAGAGTAGCTTATTAATTGAGAGTTCTAGAGAGGATTGCCTGGGTTAAAATCCAAGCACCAGTATTTCCTGGCTGTGTGAACTTGGACAAGTAACTTGTCTAGAACCCTAGTCTTTTCATTTATATTGGGGATGATAATAGTACCTACTCAAATGATTGTTGAAAGGGTTAACTGAGTTAATATATGCAAAGAATTTACCACAGTGTCTAGTATCTGGTAAGCAATAAATAAAATCAACCAGTTGCCATCAAGTTCAATTTCAACTCATGGCGACCCCAAATGTGTCAGAGTAAAACTGCACTTCACAGAGTTTTCAGTGGTTGATTTTTCCGAAGTAGATCGTCAGACCTTTCTTCCAAGGTGCTTCTGGACAGACTTGAACAGCCAACATTCCAGTTAGCAGCCAAGCATGTTAACTGTTCATACCACCCAGGGATTCCAAGTAATCAATAAAGTTGGCTATTATTATTATTATCAGAATATGGCTCCCTTCCTACCAGGTCCAGGCAGCTGCACCTGTCACTGCCCTGCTCCAGGTCCCACCTGTAGAACTGGAGCATGAAGCCTGTGATGATCATGCCCCCAGGGACCTGGAAAGACATCCGCCCAATGATGTTCATCTTCTCCCCAGTGTCAGGGTGGAAGGCCGAGTCATACAGCTTCTTGGCATACAGCAGCTGCTCCACTTGAGTTCCTGGGGGCACAGCCCCCATCCTGCCACCAAGGACAAGGAAGATAAGAGCCAGCCTACAGGCAGAGTTTCTTCCCAGCCCTATTGATGCCTCCCAGCTCCCAGTCATCCTGTTCTCATTGCTCCCCCATCCCTGGGGTCTTTCCTTCCTGGAAGCCCCATCAACCCAGCCCCCTCCCCTAACCACTCACCTGCTCTTCTCCACCATCATCTTGGCCCAGTCCAGCTCCTGCTCTGGCACCAGGACTGTTCGAGGGTCCGTGATATTGAAGAAGTGCTTCACCCGCCCCAGGAAAGTGCATTGGTCCCAACGGGGAGCATCGATGTTAAAGCCAGACAGGTCAGCCTCCATCCTGCTCAGACACAAAACTGTGGACTTAAGGGACAGAGGAAGAATGAGCTTGTCGGCAAATTCAGAGCCTGCCCTGGAGGCCCTAAGTACCTCCCAATGTTGTAGATTGCCCACATTCACCAGCCACTGGGCATCACCTGACTCTCTGGGCAGGGCCCAGGCTGAGAAATCAGGCCTTAACTTGTGTTTCCTGAGTGCCTGCTGGTGGCCAGCCTGTGCTTGGTCACACTGTGGGGGAGACAGGAAAAAGGGACAGCACAGCCCCTGTCCTTGGGTAGCTCGGAGCCAGATGGCAGAAACAGTATGTAATACGTATAGCAACGATAAGTACAGTAGGAGATGAGAGGAAGCAAAGATGGGTGAGTGCCCCAGTCAGCAGGGGGGCTTCCCAGAAGAAGGGAAATGTGAGCTAGGCCCTGAAAAGTAGAATAGATTTATACGGAAGAGGTTAGAAGGCATGGGATCACAGGACAAGCAGACAAAGGTGGGAATGAACACGACACGATCACTTTCAGCACTGCAGCAAGTGTGTGTGCGTGTGCGTCTTAGTTATCTAGTGCTGCTATAACAGAAATACCAAAAATGGGTGGCTTTAACAAGCGGAAATTTATTTTCTCACAGTTTTGGGGGCTAGAAGTCCAAATTCAGGGCACTGGCTCTAGGGGAAGGCTTTCTCTTTCTGTTGGCTCTGGGGGAAAGTCCTCGTCTCCCTTCAGCTTCCATTCCTCAGCGATCATCATGTGGTGTGGCTTCTATTGTCCCCCATCTCCACTTGCTCTCTGTCCTCATCTGCTCTTTTTTAGAAATTGCTATCAGGTTCTATTGTATTCTTTCTGTTGTTGTTGTTGTTGTTAGCTAGACAGAGGAGCGGTATCTCAGGCAAAAAGAAGAGCAAGCATGGAAACCACACAGGGCATGTGGGGACCTGATGATGATGATAACAGCTAACACCCATTGAGCTCTTACTGTATTGTATTATTGTAGTTTAAGTGAAAGTTTACATTTCAAGTTAGTCTTTCATACAAAAATTTATACACACATTGTTATGTGACCCTAATTGCTCTGCCTGTACTGTGACAGCACACTCCTCCTTTCTACCCCTGATTTCCCATATCCATTCAGCTAGCTCTTAACCCTCTCTGCCTTCTCATCTCATCTCCAGACAGAAGCTGCCCATTTAGTCTCATGTAGCTTCTCGAGCTAAGAAGCACACTCTTCGTAAGTATCATTTTATGTCCCACAGTCCAGTCCTAATCTGCTCTTTTTATCTCAAAGGTGATTGGCTTAAAGCACACCCCACACTGATATGGCCTCTTAATATAACCCCAAATGGGATTATAACCACAGGTATAGAGTTTAGGATTTACAACACATATTCTGGGGGGACACGATTCGATCCATAATAGTGTGTGAGTGAGACCGCAGGCCATGGGATGAGTGAGGCACAGCGCCTACCCTCAGGAGTTAGAGTGACAGGAGGAGAGGCCAGGAAAACAGCAGAGTGTACACGGTGCTGTCGACAGACACTGCACGCAGCAGGAAGCCAGGGAAGAGGAATCTAAAATTGGGGTGGCTATTTCTCCCAGCTTGCCTGGGACTGCTGTCCCGGGTTCATTATTAATAGCACCGCTTTTCACTCTCAAAAGTGTCCCAATTTGGAGGGCAAATTATATGGTCACTTTATCTAAAATGGATTAGGGATTCTGAATATACTTCATGAGATCATGAAATTAGGATGTGTAAAAGTTAGCTAGATAGAGGAGCAGTATCTCAGGCAAAAAGAAGAGCAAGCATGGAAACCACACAGTGCACGTGGGGACCTGATGACAATGATGACAACAGCTAACACCTCTTGAGCTCTTACTGTATGCTAGACACTTTGCTTAGTGCTGGACATGCATTTCTCAATTCCTCTTCGCAATAACTGTATGAGGCAGATACTTTAATTTAACCCCATTTTATGGATGAAAAAACTGAGGTGCAGTTAAGTACCTTTACCAAATCATTCAAGCATTAGCCAGTGGCAGAGCCAGGATTTTAATTCAGCCTGAGTCACTTCAGCACTCTCGCCTATAACTGGGCTCTGGAATCCACGACTTGAAAAGCTAAGGCTTTAAAACCCTTGCCTGACAATTTCAGGAAGCCAATAAAGGATTTTAAGAAGGGGAGTGGCAAGATCAGATTTGCCGTTTAGAAGGAACACTCCGAGCATGGGAATAAACAGGGTGGGTAGGACCTCTTGAGATGCAGGGAGATCAGCTGGAAGGAACCCCAGTCATCTAGGCAAGAAGTGGGGGCTCAAATAGACACAGATGCACCAGAACAGAGAAGAGGGTCCCAGAATGAGAACCTTTTAAAGAAGCAGGATCTTAGGATTGGCTAAGTGATTGGGTACAGGAGCAATAGTGTATCAGTCTGGGTTGAACCAGAGAAGCAAGGGGATAAAGATGTAAGAATACAGATACATTGTTGTTAAGTGCTGTCAAGTCAATTTTGACTCACAGCAACCCCAAGTGTTATGGGGTAGGCCCTCTTTTAAAGAGCTTCCACCTGATTGAGTCAGGCCTACCCAGGATAAACTCCCTTTTGATTAACTCAAAGCCAACCAATTAGGGACTTTAGTTAAATCTGTAAAATCCCTTCACAGCAACATCTAGGTTACTGTTTGAATGGAGAAGGTGTGTATCTGCCACAAAATGGCCGCGGCCATCCTCACAGCCCTCTCTATCCAGAAACATACCAGAGAGGAAATCCTGAGTTTTATTCAGCCTAGCCAAGCTGGCTAATCACAAATATCCAGGGCTTCTGACTTTGGCAACAATGTGCTGAGATAGAGAATATAGGAAAATAGGTTTTAAGGGGAAAACCTATTTCCACATGTTGAGTTTCAAGTGGCATGGGACTTTCTTAAATGCAATAGGCTGCCTCCTGTCTCAAGTTCTTTGCAAATGCTGTTACCTGTCCAGAATGCTATTCCCTCCCCCTTTTCACTAAATGACACCTATTCTCCTTCAGATTTCAGCTTAAACCTCATTTCCTCAGAAGTCCTTCTCTGAAGTACCCCTCCCACCTCCTCTGCTTCTAGGCCAGGGGCCCTGCTATGAGCCCTCTTGGCTGCGTACTTTTTGTTCAGAGTAATGACAGTTTGTCATTATGCTCTGTCACTTTATCTTGATGAATGCCTACCTCCCCTACTAGGCCAAAAGCGCCTCCAAGTCCGGGCTGTGTTTGTCTTGCTCAGCACTGCAGCCCGGTGCCTAGCCTGGTGCCTGCATGAGGAAGGCACTCAAGTATTTGCTGAATAAGATGTCCAGTTAGTCAGCATTTGGATATTCAGGTCTGAAAGGAAGCAGAGAGCACAGAGGTCTGGGGAAGAAGTAAAAAAATCAAGTCAGCTGCACTGAGGTAGTTTAAGTTTTCCAGTGAGAAGACAGAGCGGGAAGAGAAGAGAGCAGAGGACAAACCCTGAAAAAGCATTTAAGAGGCAAGTTGAAAAAAGGAAGTCCCCCCAAAAATAAGAACAACCAGAGAGGTAGGAGGAGAGGGTAGCTAACACATGGGAAGAAGAGAGAGTGGTGGTTAATTTTAAATTTTTTGTTAGAATGGGAGAAACTTCAGCTAGCTGACATGCCAGGGGTAAGTCGTTTCTGAAGAGGAAGGAGGCAGGTGAGGAGTCGCCCAGCGTGAGGTAACCACAGCACCCCTGCCTGGCCTGAGGCCACTAGGGAGAAGCGAGGCACAGGCGTCCACTGCCCAAACTCTGACTTCCCCTCTCCCATCCACCCATGAAGCCCACGAGGATGCCCTAGGCTCTGCCCTCTAGAACAGGCTGCCTCAGCCTCCTGCAGCTGGTTCAAAGACCAAAGTCATTTTGCTTAGTCCCAGCTGAACCCAGGAGTGAGAAGAGGGGAAAAGACTCATTTTCCCTGACTCTGTTGTTGTGTGATTCCAACTTATAGCAACCCTATAGGACAGAGTAGACCTGCTCCATTGGGTTTTCTAGGCTGTAATCTTTACATAAGCACATGGCCAGGTCTTATCTCCCACAAAGCGGCTGGTGGGTTTGAACGGCCGACCTATCAGTTAGCAGCAGAGTGCTTAACCATTGCACCACCGGGGCTCCTTCTCTCACTCTATGTGAAGCTAAAAGCAGTCAGCCTGGCCCACAGATGACACTGCCTCGGCTTACAAAGGTCCAGGACCATACTTGCTGGAGACAGTGGGCTGAGCAAAATGCTACATCTCCCTCTCAACACACAATCTCCCCATCCGTCCTTCTCTGCCATCTCTCACCACCCTCCAGCTCAGTGTTGGAAAGTCCTCTGCCTTTTATCATGGAACCACTTCTACCATGAAGGGTGATCATTTGTTAAATTATGCAAGAACTTTTGCCTTCATAAAGGTCAGAATGGGAGCAGCACAGCTCTTGTCTTATGTGAAACATAAGGTACAAAGAAAAAAAAACCTAAATTTTCTGTCTGGAACATGTCCCCCACACCCACTGCCCCCAAACCCTCTTCAGACTAGATTACCCTTCATCCACCCAGCTTAAACATGACCTCTTCAGGGCAAACTCAAGTCCTTCTGTTATGCTCCCAAAGCACCCTGGACTTCTTGGCAACACTTGGGGCTTCTGCAATGATCATTTTCTTGTTATTTATAGCAATTTGTTTAAAGTCAGCCTTCTCAGATAGAATGTGTGGCTCAAAAGCATGGGGACCATGTCTTTGCTGTTCGCTGCTATATTCCTCATCTGCCCTCAAGAAATATCTATGACCTGTCTGAAATGTATTCCAACTTATCCTTGGGCCCACTGGAATGTCACTTCTTATAAGTCAAACTCAGAACCTGCCTTGGCTACAGAATTAAGAGCAGGCTTTCTTTCACAAAGTTGCAAATTGTCTGTCCCGGCTGTATTGAACCATATGTGCTGTTGTTAGGTGCTGCCAAATCGATTTCGACTCATAGTGACCCCATGTGACAGAATAAAACTGCCCCATAGGGTTTTTCTTTCATCAGATCTTTCTCTCACAAAGCCACTGGGTGGGTGTCTTAGTTAACTAGTGCCACTACAACAGAAATACCACAAGTGAATGGCTTTAACAAACAGAAATTTATTCTCTCACAGCCTAGGAGGCTAGAAGTTCTAACTCAGGGCGCCAGCTCCAAAGGAAGGCTTTCTCTCTCTGTTGGTTCTGGGGGAAGGTCCTTGTCATCAATCTTTCCCTGGACTAGGAGCTTCTCAGCACAGGGACCCAGGGTCCAAAGGACACACTGCTCCTGGCACTTCTTTCTTGGTGGTACTGAGGTCCCCCATCTCTCTGCTAGCTTCTTTCTTTTATATCTCAAAAGAGATTGATTTAAGACACAACCTAATCTTGTAGATTGAGCCTTGCCTCATTAACATAACTGCCTCTAATCCTGCCTCATTAACATCATAGAGGTAGGATTTATAACACACAGGAAAATCACATCAGATGACAAAATGGTGGACAATCACACAGTACTGGGAATCATGGCCTGGCCAAAGTGACACATATTTTGGAGGGACACAATTCAATCCATGACAGTGGGTTCAAACCCCCAACCTTTCAGTGAGTAGTCGAGCCCTTAAAGGTTGTGCCCCCAGGGCTTCTTGAACCATATGTAGTCTCTAACTTTTCTTGCACTGTTACTCTCCCTCCTCCCATACAACCACATCTAGTCCTCCCTAAAAAGGTCACCATCATGTCTAGGGTGGCCCCTCTTCTGAAGGAATGTGTTTCTTACTACTGGGCACAAGGGGGAGATAGAAATCAAACAGGTGATTGGCCAATACCTCCTTTTCCTTCTAGGATTAGAGAATGTCACAGCTCAAAGACATTAGGGACCCTGGACCAATCCCTTCAGTTCACAGAAGGGGAAACTGAAGCCTAGAAAGGTTCGCATCCATTCAACCAGGATGGTGAGCATTTATGGCGCACATGCCCAGCACTAAAGACCTGTGGCAGGTATAAAGAGGAACAGATCCAGTCTTCAAAGTTCTGATGATAGCTAGCACTCCACTTCCCAAGGTCATAAGGCTTGGCTTAGGGTCACCTAGACAGTTTCTCCTTCCACTAACCCATTACCAAACCCATTGCCATCGTGTTGATTCCAACTCATAGAGTTCCTACAGGACAGAGTAGAACTGCCCCATAGTGTTTCCAAGGCTGTAAATCTTTACAAAAGCAGACTGCAGACTGCCACATCTTTTCTCCCATGGAGTAACTGGTGGGTTCAAACCACCAACCTGTTGGTTAGCAGCCAAGTGCTTCATCACTGTGCCACCAGGGCTCCTTCTCTTTCCATTACAACTTACTTATTTTCTGCTAAGGGGGCAAAAAGGAGAAAAGAGAGAGGGAAATAACCTACTACCTCTCCTGAAGTAATGCTCATCCTTCCCAGAGTGACTTGTTTTTCTCCGGCAAACAGTATCATAGCTCAGAGAAGGGGCTTCCAAACCCCCTCTGGGGTATTCTCCTATGAGGGAGAAAAGTGCAGATAATTTTCTCTACCCAAGGATTCCCTGTTTGGAGCCCCAGGCAAGGAAAAAAACAAAACAGCATTCCTGGTGTTCACACCAGGAGGATAGCAAGGTAGCCAAAGACTTAAGAAGGTTTCTTCACACACAGACCACTGAGATAGGTGAGGGTTGGTGTCAAGGCTGGCTAGACCAAGTTGGAGAATGAGACTAATAATCCAATGAGTTGGCCCAGGTGTATGACTATGTACACCCACATTATTCCAAGGCAACAGTGATGCTGGACACAGACACAACCCAGAAAGAGAAATCTGCCTCCTTATTTTACAAAAGCTAGAAATTTTACTGAGCTAGAAATAGGCAGATTACATCTGGTTAGAGATGGTTGTTGTTGGTGTGTGCCTTTAAGTCAATTCTGACTCATAGCGACCCTACAGGATAGAGTAGAACTACCCCCATAGGGTTTCCTAGGCTGTAATCCTTACGGAGGAGGAGATTGCCAGGTCTTTTCTCCTTCAGAGCCACTGGTGGGTTAGAACCGCTGACCTATCGGTTAGCAGCCAAGCTCTTAACCATTGTACCACCAGGGCTCCTTTAGAGATGGCACACTCTGAGTTAACCACTCATCTTGCACCTCTTTATTCAAGGTTCTGAACTGGTACGCAAGTAGCAGATGTTTAAAAATTGGCTAAATGCACAAATAGCTAAGGACCATTCAGGGAAAAATCTGCCTTCATTCCAATGATTTTGGATAGGCTTGAAAGCCTGCTGATAGGAAGAGGGGCAAAACCTAAAAACCTAGGTGAAACTAGGGCTTTGAACCTGTTCAGTCTCGGCCAACAAAGCGACACCGGAACAGACCCAAATTTTTACACTTTGGATGATCTGGAACAACAACCGGCACAGGAAAAATTACAGCCGGAAGCCCTGGAATGGGAGACTTGGAAGAGGCATAGTGAGCCCTTTCAGGAGCCTGATGAGTGAGATTTGATTATCGGCAAGACTGTGGAGAGGACGCACATTCAAAGCTGTGTGGTTGGCCGCCATCTTTGAGCGAGGGACTGCTGTTTCCAATTCTGCTCAAAATCCTACTGGCAAGTAATTTGGTTACTATGCAACGTGTATGCTGCCCTTGTTTTCTAAGAGGGAGATCAGGTTTCTAGCAGGGCTTCGATCCATAATTCTTCCCATTCTGGTTATCATCCTGGTTCACCCAAATTTAAAAAATTTGGCTCTGTTCCAGTTTCTCTTCCTCGGCCATGACTGAATCAAGAAGAACTAGTTTGAAGCCCTGGATGAAACTAATATAGCTAATTTCTATATAGCTCTTCCTGTGTGTGACATTGTTCTATGCACTTGACATATAATAATTCATATAATCCTCAAAGAACCATCGGTGGTAGGTAAGAGGCACTTAAGCATCTGAAAACTTCCAGGTCTATCCATCAGCGCCCAGACTTTACCAGCTCTTAAAAGGTCTGGTTTACATTGCAGACATAAACCACTCTGTTCCTCCTACTTGGAGCACTCCCTCCAGAGTCAGACAGAACTCAGTTCAAGTCTCATTCTATTGCTTAAAATAACCAACTTCCAGGGTGGTTGTGAGAATGAAATGAAATCATGTATGAAAAGCATTTCACTAGGAAGCAGATTTTGTCCACTGCTGTTAACTCCAGCGCCTAGAACAGGGCCTGGCATGTATGTGACAACTCTTCCATGGGCCTCTGCATGTGAAAGGATGGGAGGAAGCACTTCCCCACCAACCCAGAACGCCCTTACTCTTCTTTGGCTCGAAGTCCAGGCCGATTTTTGCCTCTTCCAGAAGTGCAGATGGTGTAGGACCCGGTCCAACATAGCTTAGCAAAACTCAGCCAATCGCAAAACGCCTTTCACCACTGCTGTCAACTCAGATCAGGGCCAGTCCCAGATTGGTCCTTGTACTGAGACAAGCTGCCTCCTCCCCTCTCACCACCTGGATCCCCCATTCCAGACTCTCACACAGGGTGTGCAGGGAGGTAGGTGCGCAGCCCAAAACGCCCCCGTCCCTTGGTCTAGCAAAGGAAGGTGCTGAGGATTGGCGGGGACAGCCCCAAGCCACTCCTCGCGCCACGTGGCTTCTGCAGGTGGAAGTCTAGCGTCTAGCCCGCGCTGCAGCCCCTCCTGAGCAGAGTAAGGACAGAAATCCAAGCTCCCTCCCGGGACGTGATGACTGGAAGTAGACGTGGCAAGCGGCCCTCTCCCCAACTGCCCTTACCTGGTCCCGGGAGTGCACTGAGACAACTGCCACCAGATGCAGCACGCTTGGAGAGCCGCGTCTGGGCCCCGCCCCCTCGCCCCGCCCCAAATCACCGGCTCGGCGGCCCCCGCCAGCCACGTGGGCTGGTTTGCAGCATTCTCCAGGTCAATGCAAGCCTGCAGCCGTCTCGAGCCGCTCTAATAGCACGCCTGCGCGATGAGCGGGCCCTTGGCGCGCTTGCGCACTTTGGGGAAAGTGGAGCTGGACCCGCCTCTGTACCGCTGCTTTCCTCCTCCGCTGTGCGTGCGAGGGACGTCGGGGGCGGTGCCGCAGCAGTTGCCCCTGGTAACGGGGAGGCAGGAGGAGGAGGAGGAGGAGGGACTCGGCGGGAGGATGGTGAGTATGGGGGGCCTGGGCCCCTCCGGAGCTGGCTGGTCACGCTCCCGTCCCCAGGCCCAGGGCGGGGCACTGCGCTCAGAGCTAAGGGGGGAAAGGGACGGCGCGCAGCCAGCTGCTGGGTTCTGGATCGGTTTCGGGGGACGGCAGGGAGCCCCGAGGATGGCCCCTGGAGGGAGGCCTGGGCCTGGGGAGGAAGGCGGGGTTTGCAACCGGTCCGAGGCGCGGGGAAGGGGCTGACAGGGTGCGTGACTGGCCCCGTACGGAGCCGGGGCTCCATCATTGCTCTGGGGACAGGGATGAAGGCGGATCGAGGAGTGCGGAGACCAGCCTCCGCACGCAGACTTAGATCTTCTCGGGGAATCCGCCTTCCTGCGTCGCAGGAAAGTGGGGTCCGTCTGGGACCGAGCCCGAAGCGGGGAGAGGGACTGGCGCTGCCCTCTTTGAGGTCGCCCTGGCAGTACCACGGGAGATGATAGCCTAGCTCTCCTCTACCTCGCGAGATGCGAGTCCCTGGGGCGTGGGAGTCCCAGGGCACAAAGAGGTGCTGCTTGAAAGGGATGCCTGGTGAATCTTAAGCTGCCTTGGCGTCTGCGTGGCTGGCGCCCTTCTGCAACCTGGAGTTTCTTATTTGCTGAGAGTTCTGCAAAATCTAGTTGATGATGACAGATTTCTTTTCAATACTTAATCCACATTGGTGTAGGCAAATTTACTGCTCAATCTTCAGTATATCCTTCGGAACCTGTAGCAACCTTTTGCATATGACCACACCAGAACCAAAGGTCTTAATCCCAGTTTGGGGTCTCCAAACTAAAAAGAATGGGAAATTAAAACTGGGAGTGGCCATCAATTTGGGGCAAGCCTTTTCTCCGTTAGCCCTAATTAAATCTTTCCCAGAGAGTAAATTATGATGTGTGACAGATTTGACACTCTGCCTTCTTGATGCAGGAGAAACATGTAGCAGTCGGCTTCCGTAAAGATTTACAGCCTAGGAAAACCTACGGGGCAGTTCAACTCTGTCCTTTAGGTAGCTATGAGTCGGAATTGACTCGATGACAATGAGAAACGGGTCGTCTTGATTTCTCTGCAGTTTCTTGGAGGGGGTTAAAATGGAATGAGTAGTTTCAGAGCTTGTCAGTAGAAAAATTGATTTTGAATTATTTAGAGCAGATTGGTTGGTTTAACAACCGCAAAGATCCAGTACTCAAACTTAGTTACTTTTCCCACCCCACCCACAATTGCTTTTTGATTTTTTTAAAATGTTGATCCATTTCTGTTGATTTAAGGTATAAGAAGCAGCTAGCTGCCCCCAAGTGGAAAATGTATATATATATACGTATCTTTGTTCAGATTATCCAGTGAGAAAATTTTGATTAAAAAAAAATTCCAATTGATTTTACCTTGTCAGATTGTTAAAGAAGTAGAATTACTTGATCTGAAGTTGCCAATCACATTTCACAGTTGCTACATTGCAGTTTTATTAACCTCAGGCTAAACAGATTTTACAAGTGTTTTCTTCTTATTAATCGTTTATACATGAGCTGTCCATTAAAAGGCTAAGTTTTTCTCAACAAATGAGTACAAACATAAATATTTACACAGAAAATAACTGGAATTGAAAGGAAAAAGGCATGCCAAACCAACAGAGAATGAATTTTGTCATCATAGATGAGAAATGCATAAGAGTTGGCTAACTTCTCCCAGTTTATCAATTAAGTGACGGTAATTTTATAATTGTTTAGTAGTTTATAATTATAGGCCACAATAAATTAAGCACTGCTCATGTTTCCAGGCGCAAACTGACATTGTACACAACAAATAGACACTGTATACAAAAAATTGACAGTGTATACAGCAAATTGAAAGTGTATCTAATAGTGTCATATACAGCTGTTGTATTCAACCATCAAAACAGATTTTGGTTTTATTTTTATTTTGCTGAAATGAACAATAAGAAATTAGGACAAATTATTCTAGATTCTTTATCTGGTTTCCCAAATACTTCTTTTTTTTTTTCCTATCTCCAAAAGTGAGAGCTATTCTTAGAACTGGAAGTGGAACACTAAATTTAAATGGTCAGTGGTCTAATTAAATGTGCCACATCTGGTATCCCATGAGCCCCCGTGGTTAACTGTACAACTAAAGGATGGGTCCCAGGCTCTGTGTGTGTGTGTGTGTGTGTATGTGTGTGTGTGTTTTCATCTGCAGCTATGACTAATACATTTTTTTAAACTTAAGTTACTGTAACAAAAACCCATAATTGGTTTTCCTGAACATTTAGGATTAGCATGGTGAAACACTAAGATGACAGTAATTTTAGCACATACCTAATCACTGTTTATTTAAAATATGACTCATTTCATTCAGTAAGTATGGTGTACTTCCACATATATGGAGCCCTGATGGCACAGTGGTTAAGAGCTCAACTGCTAACCAAAAGGTCAGTAGTTCAAATTCACCAGCCGCTCCTTGGAAACCCTGTGGGACAGTTCTACTTTGTCCTATAGGGTCGCTATGAGTTGGAACCGACTCGATGGCAATGAGTTTCTTCCACACATATGAACCTAGTGGTAGTTATCAAATATATTCAACATTTGAAGATTGTTCTCAACAGTATTTATGTTTCCTGGTTAGCAAATGGTCAATGAAAAATGAAAAAATAAAAGCAGCTATTGTTTTGAGTACTTATTATGTGCCATGTGTTATATGCATTATCTAATTTAATCATCATGACATTTTTTTCTTGAGATATGAATATTGTTCCCGTTTTCTACATGAATCCATGCTCAGTGTTACATATATAGGGAAGCTGAATACATGTCTTTTCATTAGGACTCTGGTGAAGAACTCAATCTTCTTAAGAAGATGCCCATATTCTCTTCCTCAGGAAACTTTTTTTTTTTTAACTTAGTATAGAAGTGATGAGAAAGAAGACAAAGTTGGGGTGAGGGACTCCCTTTCAAAACTGTAGGAGTTCCTGGAGATGAACAAGGTCTCTCTGGGCAGCATCAGTATTTATAATGGTTTAAAGAGGTCAAAATAAATTGAAGTCATTACACTTAAGCTAGTTACAAGAAGTGTATGTACTTGACATTGGCCTAGTAATTTTAATATTTAAATTTTAGCTGCTCATGACCCGTTGCCATCGAGTCCATTCCTACTCATAGCGACCATATAGGACAGAGTAGAACTGCCCCATAGAGTTTCCAAGGAGTGCCTGGTGGATTTGAATTGCTGACCTTGTGGTTAGCAGACATGGCGCTTAAGCAGTATGCCACCAAGGTTTCCACCACTCATGACAGCCACTTGTATTTTCCATGTGCCAACACATTTTCTCCCCTTCTCCTCCCACCCCCACTACCCAGTTTTTTTAATGACCTACTTTGTATCGTTTTAGGTCAGCCCGGCATGCCTCTGCCAGTGGATGAATTTAAACTGATTTTGAGGCAGACAAAATGCCGTCGATAGCACATCTATTCATGATTTGCCTGTAGAAAAGTTTAAATGTTTTGTGTCTGAGTCAGACCAGTTCTCTCTATCAGGGTGCAGATAACTGGTTCGCAACACACGATGGTGACACACAATATACAATTAACTGATGTTCTTGTTTCTTAGATTGCCTTCATTTAATGTCATGGGAGTATAAATTCTGAGGATGCAGAATTCCCTGAGATGATGTCTATTTTACTCACTGTTGTACTTGGGGCACATTATAGGTGTTTAATGAAAATCGAATGAATAGATATTTTGGCCAAAAGTACACTTTGAAAATTAATTTTCTTGTTATTATACTGCAAAACTCAGCCCCATAATAAATTTAACTTCTAATGGCTGTCTTCCTTTATTTGACATTTAAAATAAAATAAAGTATGGGCATATATGAGTAAAAGCATGGAATAGACTTACACTACTCTCTTGGCTCCAGCCTCTTAAATCAGCTTAGTTTTACCTTTCAAGCAGAACTCTCACATAATCTATAAATATCCTCCTCCCTATTTAGCAAACCCTGATAATCCTGTGATCCCCTGTCCTCAGTAGTTGGGTTAATGTGATACTGTGTTGTATTTGCATTAGTCTGCCCTAGACCATGCTTCAGGTGTCATTTATCATTTTGCTGGAAGAAAATATTAGCTATACTTTCCATTTCTCTGTCATTTCACTTGAAGATGAAGCTTGTAAAGTTATTTTATTGGGAAGTTACTTTCCTAACAAGGAAAATTATTTATCAGAAATGGAGAAGAACTGTTTTCTTTGCCATTAGGTTTATAACATTTAACTGTAGTTAGAATGGTTTCTTTCTCATCTGTGCTTTGCTTCTCTCCTTTTAAGATGAATAGAAATGATCTTTTTCTCTAATTATTACATTTCAAAAATAATGAGCATGTACAAGGCCCCAGCCTGCAGGATACAGTTTTTTTTTTTTTTAATTGTGCTTTAAATGAAAGTTTACAATTCAAGTTAGTTTCTCATACAAAAATTTATACACACATAGTTATGTGACCCTAGTTGTTCTCCCTATACTGTGACAGCACACTCCTCCTTTCAACCCCGGATTTCCTGTGTCCATTCAACCAGCTCCTAAGCCTCTCTGCCTTTTCATCTTGCCTCCGGACAGGAGCTGCCCGTTTAGTCTCATGTATCTTCTTGAGCTAAGAAGCACGCTCTTCATGAGTATCATTTTATGTCCCATAGTCCAGTCTACTCTTTGTCTGAAGAGTTGGCCTTGGGAATAGTTTTAGTTTTGAGCTAACAGAGAGTCCGGGGGCCGTGTTTTCCGGGATTCCTCCAGTCTCAGTCAAACCATTAAGTCTGGTCTTTTTACTGGAATTTGAGTTCTGTACCCCACTTTTCTCCTGCTCTGTCAAGGACTGTCTGTTGTGTTCCCTGTCAGGGCAGTCATTGGTGGTAGCTGGGCACCATCTAGTTCTTCTGGTCTCAGGCTGATGAAGTCTCTGGTTTATGTGGCCCATTCTGTCTCTTGGGCTACTAGTTTCCTTGTGTCTTTGGTGTTCTTCATTCTCCTTTGCTCCAGGTGAGTTGGGACCAAATGACGCATCTTATATGGCTCTTGATAGCTTTTAAGACCCCAGATGCCACTCACCAAAGTAGGATGTAGAACATTTTCTTGATAAACTTTGTTATGCCAATTGACCTAGATGTCCCCTGAAACCATGGTCCCCAGACCCCTGCCACTGTTACTTTGTCCATTGAAATGTTTGGTTGTATTCAGGAAACTTCTTAGCTTTGGTTTAGTCCAGTTGTGCTGACTTCCCCTGTAGTGTGTGTTATCCTTCCCTTCACCTAAAATACTTCTTGTCTACTATCTAGTTAGTGAATACCCCTTTCCCTCCCTACCCACCCTCATAATCATCAAAGAATATTGTCTTCTGTGTTTAAACCTTTTCTTGAGTTCTTATAATAGTGGTTTTATACAATATTTGTCCCTTTGCAACTGACTAAATTCACTCAGCATAATGCCGTCCAGATTCCTCCATGTTATAAGATGTTTCACGGCTTCATTGTTGTTCTTTATCGTTGCGTAGTATGCCATTGTGTGAATATGCCATAATTTGTTTATTCATTCGTCTATTGATGGACACCTAAGTTGTTTCCATCCTTTTGCTATTGTGAACAGTGTTGCAGTGAACATGGGTGTGCATATATCTATTTGTGTGATGGCTCTTATTTCTCTAGGATATAGTCCAAGGAATGGGATTGCTGAATCGTATGGTACTTCTATTTCTAGCTTTTCAAGGAAGCTCCAAATCGATTTCCAAAGTGGTTGTACTATTTTACAGTCCCACCAAGAGTGTATAAGTGTTCCAGTATCTCCACAACCTCTCCAACATTTATTATTTTGTGTTTTTTGGATTAATGCTCATCTTGTTGGAGTGAGATGATATCTCATTGTAGTTTTGATTTGCATTTCTCTAATGACTAATGATTGTGAGCATTTCCTCAGGTGTCTGCTGGCCACCTGAATGTCTTTTTTGATGAAGTGCCTGTTCATATCCTTTGCCCATTTTTTAATTGGGTTATTGGTCTTCTAGGATACAGGATATTTATTTAGTGATTTTTTAGAGAAGAAGAGATGAATCTGAGAGAAGACTAAAAACATTAATTTTGAATGTAACAATCTTTGTTGGTTACCAGGATGGGAGGGGTGGGGGGGAAATAGTAAATAGGCAATAGATAAGTGGTATCTTGGGTGAAGGGTGAGACAGTATACAATACAAGGGAAACTAGCACAACCTGTACAAGGAAAGGTCATGGAAGCCCCATAGACACATCCAAACTCCCTGAGGGACTGAATTGCTGGGCGGAGGGCTGTGGGGACCATGGTCTCGGGGAACATCTAGCTCAATTGGCATAACACAGCTTATAAAGACAATGTTCTACATTCTACCTTGGTGAGTAGTGTCTGGGGTCTTAAAAGCCTGTGAGCGGCCATCTAAGATACTCCACTGGTCTCATCCCTTCGGGAGCAAGGGAGAATGAAGAGAACAGGGTACAAGGAAAAGATTAGTCCAAAGGACTAATGGACCACAGCTACCAAGGCCTCCACTGGACTGAGTCCAGTACAGCTAGATGGTGCCCGCCTACCACCACTGACTGCTTTGACTAGGATCACAACAGAGGGTTCTGCACAGAGCTGGAGAAGGATGTAGAACATAATTCTAACTCACAAAAAAAAAGACCAGATTTACTGGCCTAAAGGAGACTGGAGAAACCCCGAGAGTATGGCCCCCAGACACCCTCTTAGCTCAGTGGTGAAGTTATCTCCGAGGTTCACCGTTCAGCCTGGGAATGGACAGCCCTGTAAAACCCAATGAGACTAACGAGGTACAGTAGTCCAGTGACAAGGGCCAGAAGGCAGAAGGGGACAAGGAAGCTGGTGATAGGGAACCCAAGGTTGAGTAAGGATATTGTTGATATGTTGTGAGATTGTTAACCATTGTCATAGGGCAACATTTGTAGTAACTGTTAAATGAGAAACTATTTTGTTCTGGAAGCCTTCATCTTAAGTGAGAATAACAGCACAATTGGAAGAGCGTAGTCAATGTCACTGAACTGTGCATGTAGAAATTTTTGAAATGGTGTATCTTTGGCTATGTATATTTTCACCAAAAAGAAGGTTGAGAAGTTAGAGGGTTGACATGTTGTGGGGTTGTTAACCAATGTCATAAAACAACATGTGTATTCTGTTTCATGAGAAACTATTTGTTCTGTAAGTCTTCACCTGAAGTACAATTAAAAAAAAAATTAATTTTGAGTTTTGAAAGTATTTTACAGAAAACAGATCTTTCTTCACGATTTCTACTCTAGTAGTTAATACGTGAGACCTTTTTTTATTATTCTTCTTAAATTTATTTATTTTGTTGGTGTTGAGAATACATGCAGCAAAATATACACTAATTCAACAGGTTTTACACGTAGCATTTAGTGACGTTGATTACATTCTCAGAGTTGTGTAACATTCTCATCCTCCTTGTCTGAGTTGTTTCTCCCCCATTAACATAAATTCACTGCACCCAAGGTTCCTATCTAACCTTTCCAGTTGCTGTTGTCAATTTGATCCCATATAGATAGTCCTTAAAAGAGCATAATGCTCAAGGCACACATTTTTTACTAGTTAAGCTAAACTACTGTTTGTGTTAAGAAGATTTCAGGGGACATTTTTAGTTCAAGGTTTAAAGGTTATACATGAGAAGACCTTTTAACATCCTGTCAGTTAATGTACTAATGTGATAAATTCCAGTTGTTTCAGAATTTATTGTAAGAGGTAATGTGACCGTTTCTCTTCACATCTAATCAGGAATTCAGAATGAGTAGAACAATGTGTTTTCCCTGTTGTGTGCTTTTTTGTATAACCAGTCCCCTGAGGATCTCAGAATTCTAATTTTAACTGTTCTGAAAGGGGGTATTATAAATAAGAAAAACCAAACCCATTGCCGTCGAGTCGATTACGACTTATAGCAACCTTATGAATAAGAATGATTGCAGTAGAGCTACTAAAAACCACAGAGATGGCTTATAAATAGTCTCAAGAAGGATGGTGTCAAAATATTCAAGGCCAGATGAGATAAAAACAAAAGCAAAAAATGACCTGCCTATCTTTTTTGTTTCAATTCTATTCAGTCTCTCTTCCTCAAATCTTTTGGCATAGAATCTGTCTTTCTACCTTAGACTAAACCTTCCGTTTTATTCCTGGAAAAAATTAAGGCATAGAGAGGTTAATGTGGTCCTTCATAAGTCAGTGCAAATACAGTACTAGAACTGGTAAACAGAAAGGAATGCCTCATGATTATGCATATTTGCATATCATTATCCAAAGACCCAATTGTTGAGAATTATTGCACAGGAGTATTATTTGATCTTGGTGAACAGACTAGTTTGAATTATTGCCTGGTATAATGTGGATGACAAATATAACCGTTTTATATAATTCTAAGATTCATCTTAAAGGAATTTCTGCTTGAACTGGGAGATTATATTATATGCCCTTTAAACTCTGATTCTTGATTCTTGTTGTAATCATGCCTCATTAGAACAAGATTGTCAGCTATAGAACAAATAGCTAGCATGTACAAATTATGTTCTTTGCTGAAAAACAACGTGATTTATTCTGTCCTTTAAAAAAAATAACTAAAAACAACCTACAAAAATACTAGGTTACTAGTGAAAAATACTCTGGTTGAATTTTGATGTTCTTTGCTTCATGAGTGACTTTTACAAAAAGTCTATTGTATCACATTCTCCATCTGGAAAACATAGATAATCCATACCATGCGCTATTCTTACTGTAAGGGTCTTGTGAAAAGTTAGGTGATGGTAGGGTATTTTGAGGAAAGTAGTCTTAACCCTGAGGTGAAATAGATAGTCTTCAACAGAGAGCCCAGCTACGAACTGGTACCTTTTTGTATTTTTTGTACACCAAAAACCTGTTGCCGTCTAGTCAATTCTGACTCATAGCCACCCTTATAGGACAAAGTAGAATTGTCCCCACAGGGTTTCCAAGGAGCACCTAGTGGATTCGAACTGCCGACCTTTGGTTAGCAGCCAAGCTCTTAACCACTACACCTTGGGTGGATAATTCTATTTAATTCAAACAACTATTATGTAGTGCCTATCTAATAAACCCAGGCATTTTGGGAGACGGAGAAACTACAGTCTTTACTGCCTAGAAACTTCACTCTAGTAAAAGAAAAAAATACACAAAACAATTACCTATAGGCCTAATATGATGAGTACTCTATTCTAAGTGTATATAAAGAGCTAGAGAAATACAGATGTGATAGTAGTTCATACTCCCAGGAGATCTGGGGTAACTGCTAAACTGGATTAATAGGAGCAGCAGGAATAAGCCATGTTATTTATTAAGCTGCTGAATTTGGTTTCTGCCAAAACTTGAAAAGAGGAAACAAATGGAATAAATTAGAGTGGAAAGTAATAATAATATAAGCTATCCGTAACCAAAAACTTTTTTTTTTTTTTTTTTTAAGGAGGAGGAGACGTTTGGATGTCCAGTAATATCAAATCAGTGTCCCAAAAGTAATCTCTCTCTTTATGATTGTTCAAGGGCTTGCTCTCAATTCTGCGCAAACTGAAAAGTGCACCAGACCAGGAGGTGAGAATCCTTCTCCTGGGCTTGGACAATGCTGGCAAGACTACTCTTCTGAAGCAGCTTGCATCTGAAGACATCAGCCACATCACACCTACACAGGTGAACACTGTCTTGGCCCCACATGGTTGTGTGACACAAAGAAGATGATAATAGTTACATGAAAAGCAGAATGAGAAATACAGTTTTGTCCACTTCCAGGCTTTATTTTAGAGAAAAGTCTATATAATCTAAAATTTCAAAAATATATCAAGACACAATTGATTCTCTCAGATCTAAATGATTACCTATATTGTTTTTTAAAATAGCTTTATCCTCCCTGATTATTAAATTAATACGTGTGGAAAATACAGAGAAAGTATAAATGAAAAAAAACTAAAGAGTACTCTGAGAAAAGCCACTGTCAATAGCCTGGTGTTTTTTTTTTTTTTCCAAATGTAATAAATACAAATACATACCAATGTTTAAAATAAAAAACAATTACCTATATTTTTAAATCTAGCATACTCGACCTTCCTCTTTTCTAAGGATACTCAAGCAAAACACCAAAAGTTGGTGGTGCTCACAATTTGGAAGTTTAAAGACAGGTCTTGACTGGAAGAATTCTAGCATGCTTCTTTGGACCTTATTCCCTTTAGGAAAACCCGAGAAAGTTTGACCTTTGGCCAGCCTCCTGGGCTTCTTAACTAGGGACAGCCCTGTTAGTAGCTTTGAAGTATTTCAGCATAGAAGTTTTAGCAAAACCAGGGTTATTTAGCATTTTCTGTCACCTTCCTGTGATAAGACCTTGGTTTTTGAGTTTGAATGACTACTGCCAGTGTGTGTACTTCACGGCCTGTGAATCTTACTGATTTGTAACTCTTTGCCAAAGAGTCATTTCAGCTGCTACCCAAGGAGCAATGTTATAGCGTCTGAGTATGTAGCCCAAGGAGGAGCAAATTGCAATAGTCTAGCCTAGAAGGGCTGAAAACGCATATTAGTGTGTCAGAATTTCTGCCAGAAAAAGAAGAGCTACTTTATTGGAGTATTAGCAATAGGCTGTATCTTGGTAGAGCATACAGAGGACTTCCTTATTGCAAACATGGAAATGAACCCAGAGTTATGAACCCCAGGTTCCAGTTCTAACCTTCAGGCTCTGTTAGATATGTCATAGGTGACCTTGTTATCATATTATGTCAAGGTTCCACATTTATTCTTTCTTTCTTTTTTACTAATGACATCTCATGTTCAAATTAAATAATAAAATGGTATTTTCATACACATTTTATCTCCATCTGCAATCAAAGCAGTAATATATAATAGAAGGAAACACATTTTGATTAGTCATTTTCTTTATGGACAATTCCTTCCTTCCTATTTGCCCTGGGTCTGTTGTGAGGCCACCCAACTGTTTTTTGTTTTTAATTTTTTCCCATACAAAAATTTATACATACATTGTTACATGACTCTACTTGCTCTCCCCATACTGTGACAGCACACTCCTCCTTTCCACCCCTGATTCCCCATGTCCATTCAGCCAGCTCCTAACCCTCTCTGCCTTACCATCTCATCTCCAGACAGAAGCTGCCCGCTTAGTCTCTTGTATCTACTTGAGCTAAGAGGCACACTCCTCACGACTATCACTTTATGTCCCACAGTCCAGTCCAATCCCTGTCTGAAGAGTTGGCCTCGGAAATTGTTTTAGTTCTGGGCTGATAGAGAATCCAGGGGTCATGTTTTCCGGGGTTCCTCCAGTCTCAGCCAGACCATCAAATCTGGTCTTCTTACTAGAATTTGAGTTCTGCACCCCACCTCACATTTATTCTTTAAAACAAACTTCTATGTGTTTTTGTATTAGAAAAAATAATTGATGTCCATTGTAGTAAATTTATAAAGTGTTGTTAACATGTGGGAGTATACCCATTCCGTCTTTTTTTCCTACACTATATATGATGGGTGTATTTAAAATAAAAAATAAAAATGGCTTTCTATCATCTTTTTTACTTAATGTATCATGAACATCTTTCTACAGTGTTATGTATTTAAACATTGATGAAATAGAGATCTCCAAATGTTTGTACCCATTCATTATTGTTTCCTTAGAGTAATTTCCTAGTAGATTTGTTAGGTCTGATGACTTAATAGAATTTTCAGGCAGCTGATACATATGACCAGATTCTAGGATTTATTCTTATTTATTCCCTGCCTCATTCTAAAAAGGATTTGATGTTACTGGGTTTGACATTCAGTATCATAATGAGTGTAAAATTTTTAAATACACAAAAGTGGTTTTGTCAATGAGTCAGAATGAAGCAGCCTTTTACAATAAGCTTAAGCCGTTTCTCTTTAGAGTTCTTAAACTTCTAATGTGTTCACTCATTGGCTTTTTAGAAGTGCCGTAGTCAGCATCATCCCCAGTTATTCTCTAGTGACTGTTATCCTCAGTGGAAATTGGGTGGCAGTGTTCCTGTGCCATCGTACTGTGCCTTGCCCTTCTGTGCTAGACAGTAGTGTTGGCAAGCTGCAGATGAGGCAAATGTTTATGGAGACAACCCCAGGCCCATTTAACTCCAGTTATTCTGGATGAAATATTTTTTCTATGGTAGCAAGCTCTATTAGATTTTTCGATTTTTCGAATCCTGATTTTACTGTATCATTCTTGCAATAAGATTTCTTTTTTTTTTTTTTTTGATTCTTAATCATGAAGTGTGTTCTGCAAACCCCAGACCAAAAAAAAAAAAAAAACCAAACCCATTGCCGTCAAGTCAATTCCTACTCATAGTGACCCTATAGAACAGAGTAGAACTGCCCCAAAAGGTTTCCAAGGAGCAGCTAGTGGATACAAACTGCTGACCTTTTGGTTAGCAGCTGAGCTCTTAACCACTGTGCCACCAGGGCTCCCAAGCCCCAAAGGTCTTGTTAATTTATTTCTTTCCACACTAACTCCCAGCTCACAATTCTACCTGCCTCTGATTTGCTTGCCTTCCTCAAAGTTCCACCTTGAGTAACTGTCTTCATGTTCATCAGAAATGCCTGTTAATGAGCAGTTCTAAATGTTACCATCATCGCCTGTAGTTGGGGGCTTCAGTTCAGAGCTTGAAATGCTGTTCCTGCAGGTCCCACCTTCCCCATTGGGTTGCTACTCTGATTACAAACCTAACCTCCCCAACGGTGTCCTGAATTCAGCTCCGCCCTTTTCCTGATTAATTCATATGAGGAAATTTCTTTTATTTTGAGCTACTTTTGAAGAAACCAGCTCTTCCAATTTTCAGTTCTTATCTCTTTTTAAACGCAGGATTTGTTCTGTTCTGTTGAGCCTCCAGATTTGGCTTCTGTTTTTTTTTTTTAGTTACATGTAATGTCCTGTTAAATTTTGCCTGAGGACTCATCAGGGAGTGTGGTCTGTGTTGCTTATCAGAATATTCTCATACCAAGGCCTTCTCAGCAACTTATATATATGTACTCATTAGAGAAAGCGTCGTTGTAGCCATGACGTTATTAACACTGACTCCACAACCTCAATGAACCAAGGTGTATATAAATATGTTTTCTCTCTGCCCTGTCACTGCAAACCATTTTCAGTATTACTAATGTCACATATAGCAAAGTACCTCAGAATTAATAAATAGCATAGCTATTAAATAAAACTGTCAGAATTATGATCTCAAGGCATAATAAAACTTGGTGTTTTGGCCTCTATCTCTTTCAGGGTTTTAACATCAAAAGTGTACAGTCACAAGGTTTTAAACTGAATGTGTGGGATATTGGTGGACAGAGGAAAATTAGACCATACTGGAGGAATTATTTTGAAAATACTGATATTCTTGTAAGTACTCCTTCTAATGTACTAATTCATAGTCTTTTCTGCCGTGTGTTAGGAGCATTAACACTGTAGTGTTCTTTCTTGTCAGCAATTCCATTGCCATAACAGTAATCACTGAATTTAGCAGGGCTAGTAGAAGGCACCAGATTGTGAAGGAAGAAGATCTTTGTATAACTTTTATGAGATACTTTGTTGTTGCTCAGTAACAGTGTTGTGCCCATACCCATCTTATTAATTACCACAGTGATTTGAACAGCAGAATGGAAGCCAGAAGATGGTGCCACCAACTCTGTCACCCCAAGGAAATCAGCAAATCAGCGTATATCCTGAAGAGACGAAACAACCTAGTGAAAGTCCTGGAAACTATGACATATAAGGAATGGTTGAGAGACCTGACGTTGTTCTACTTAGAAAAGAGAATGCTTGGAACTGTCTTCAATTGCTTCAAGAACTATCTTAAACCAGAGAGACTAGTCTAATCATGGATAGTTCTAGAGGACTGAGCCAGGAGTAATATAGAGAGTATTAGGGAGGTTGAGTTTAGCTCAGATTAGAGAAGGATTTTCCTATAATTATAACCGCCCAGAGATAGAAGAAGCTGCCCCTTGTATTGGAGATTCATGTAGAGGCTGAGATTTTAGGCCCCAGTTCACTGTCATTTTCTCTAGGACTGTTGCTGAATTCTTGGAAATTATAATATCCATGTACATTGATGTCTCCAGTACCTCAGCCTCTCAGTTCTGTCACTCCTTCACCTTTACCTCCAATCTTCCAGTGACCTTGTCCTCCACCCAACCTTAGCCACTCACTGTCAAGACCATACCCTAAAATCAAGGATCTCCTGAACTTGGAAGGGAGGGGAGAATTGCATATTATTTTCACTAACCTCTAACTGTAAGTTTGCGTTTACTTCCATTATGACCATTGGCAATGGACTTCTATAATACCAGTCATTTCTGTAACTTTGTTACCAACAGAAATGTTAGTATTTGTTACCAATAGCAATAGATATTTCATATCACATTACAGTTATTACAGATATCATGAAATATTGTTTAGGCTCATCACTACCAAATCATGGTAGTTGTTAGACTCACCACTAGAACTTGTTACTTAATGTGTTATAAAGAAGTACATATATTCCTCTATCGCAAATTTTTTTTTAGTATTTTGTTAGCTATATTTCCATATAATTTATTTGTAATACTGTGTATTTTATTTTTATGAATTTTAGAATATTCCAAGAATGGGTCCAAGGGTCACTAGGCTGCCAAAAGATTCATGACTCAAAAATGGTTAAGAACCCCTGCCATAGACCTTACCATCTCCAACAGTTTCATCCCTCTAGAATCATAATTTCAAGCATCTCACCACTGGCTACCATCCCTATCTTTCCAGCCTCCCTTCTGCTAGTCTCCTGATTCCAACAATTCTTACATCTCATCACCTGTAATCCATTGATCCTAACTCCTTTTCACTACCCCTTATCTTCTTCATGTCCTTACTTCCCTCCTTAACCAGCTTAGATTTTACAATCCATCCTTATAATCACTCCCTTGTAGACATCATCCGATCACTTACCTCTCTCTCCCTTTATCACATGTGCCTAGAAAAACTGCAACCCTGGTCTAATCCAACTTTCTGTCTACCTCATGGTTGAACCTGTGAAGCTGAGTATAAGTAGAAAAAAAACATAAACTAAACCAAAGTGACAAGTCTTACTTTAAGTATATGCCCACCTGCCTCAGCCTGGTAATCCTCCTGCACTTACTTGGTCCATTTACTCCCCTCAACGATATTTTACTCTTTCGCTTCTCAAACTTTTTGCATCTCAAATAGTTTCACTCTCTGCTGATGACTTTGCTTCCTATTTGTCTCTTTCTAGTGGATCATTCCTATCAGCATACACACATCCTGTAATACCTCGTTTAAAAAAAATAAACAACAAAACCACTTCTCTTGACCATACATTCCCCTCTAGATACTATCTCATTCTTCAGCCTCCCTTTACAGCAAAACTCCTTGAAAGAATTTTCTGTGCTGTCTGTGTTTTGACTTCCTTCTTCCCAAACTCTCTTGAATCCTCCGTTCAGGCTCACCAGTAATTCTTCATTGCTAAGCCCAGTGTTCAGTTTTCAGCACTCATCTTACTTGTCCTATTAACCCAAAAAACTTGTTGCTGTCAAGTCGATTCCAACTCATGGCGACCCTATGGAACAGAGTAGAACTGCCCCATAGGGTTTCCAAGGAGTGGCTGGTGGATTTAAACTGCCAACCTTTTGGTTAGCAGCCAAACGCTTAGCCATTGCACCACCAGGGCTTCACTTGTCCTATTAGCACTTTTAATTAATGTAGTTGGTCATGCTGTCCTTGAAACATTCTCTTCCCTTGATTTCCAGAGTACCTATCTATCTTGGTTTTCCTCCTCCCTCACTCTTCCTCAATCTCCATTGCTTTTTTTATTTTTTCCTTATCTCCCCAACCTCCAAATGTTAGAGTGCCTCAGAGTTCAGTCCTTGTGCTTTTCTCAGCTAAGTCGCTGCTTAGGTGACCTCATCCAATCTCAAGACTTTAATTATCACCTACATGCTAGTAAGTCCCAAACTGATATCCCCAACCTGGAACTCTCTCTAAACTCCAGTTTCATATACAGCCAGCTGCCTATTTGACATGTCCCCTTCAAGCTCAGCATATCCAAAACCAAATTCCTACCTACATCCATCCCTCCCCAAATCCATTCCTTCTACAGTCTTCTCAGTAAATGGCAATTACATTTATTCAAAAACACTAGAGTCATCCTAGACTCCTTTTCCTCTCACTCCCCATATCTGATCCATCAGCAAATCCTGTCAACACTCCCTTCAAAATATTTCTAGAATCTGACCACTTCTTTTTACCTCCACTGCTCCCATGCATTGATTATTGCAATATCATCCAACTAGTCTCTTTACTTCTGCCTTGCCTCCCTGAAGTCTACTCTAGACACAGTATCTGTAGTGATCCTATTAAAATATAATCTTCCCATCCCAGAGTAAAAGCCAGTGTTCTTACAGTGGCCTACAAGGCCCCTTATATTCTGCCTCCTTCTTACCTCTCTTGACTTCATCTCCCCCCTTTCTAACATGGTTCCAGTCAGGCTGGCCTGCATGCTGTTCCTGGGACACTGGCATGCTTCCACTTCAGGGTCTTTATCACTCCTAGAATTTTCTTTCCTTAGCTTATTTCCTCCCCTCCTTCAGGTCTTTGCTCACATGTCACCTTACCACTAAGACCTTCCCTAAATACCCCTATCCCCACCCATCTGGCACTATCATTTTTCCCTGTGCCCCCCACTAGTACCTGTCATCATCAGACATATTTTTGTTTATTGTCTGTCTTCCCCATTGGAACATAAGCTCCATGAGGACAGGAACTTTTTTTTTGCTGTTGTATCCCAAGTACCTGAATGAATGAAATGGGTGATTGTTATGTATGGATTCTGATATTAGATAGAATGTGGAGTTTTATACCCTCTAAAATCCCTTCCATCTTTGGTCAAGTCCATTTTGGTCAAGTCCAAGGGCTTGTTTATTCCTTCTGTGAAATGGGGAAAGCATCTGCTTCACAGTGGGTTTATTAGAAGTAGTGAATTAATTCATTCACCACAATTCTTGAAGGGACAATAATACCAAAATATAAAATTGCACTGTCATCATATCAACAGACACATTTGAGGTGCCGAGATGGACATGGCATAGGCTCATCATATACATTTCTGGCCTTCAGTGAGCTTACGTTCCATTCTACTCCTGGTGCCAGGTTAAAGGTTTTAATGGATGAGGAGAAAAAGATGAAACACATGCATCCATCCATTTATGCATCTATTCCACCAGTTATTCTTCCAAAATGTATCAAGTACTTTTTTAGCAAAATATAAGAAGATAAGTGTTGGGTAGAAAGAAATTTTTTTCCTTTAAGATTAAAAGAAACTTCTTCAATAATCTCAAATAATGTGTCCATACTTAACATATTTTTTTATTTCAGAAATTTTCACATTTACCCAAAAGTTAAGACAAGAGTATAATGAAACCTATATACCTACCCACCATCCAGCTTCATTAATTTCAGTTTTGGCATCTCTCCTACCACTGCTTTTTTAAAAAGTATTTTAAAGCAAATGCCAGATATCCTATTATTTCACTCATAAATACTTGAAAGTAAGATTGAAAAACCAGTCCCCAAATTGTGATCTGAAACTACATATCAGAAAAATTGAAAATTAAAAGTCCTTCAAAGAATCAACAACAACAAAATAAATCTCCTGGAACTAAGAAGCAAGTATAACAAGATTGTAGGAAATAAGATTAATATATAAAAGTCAATTGCTTTCGTGTATACCAGCGATGAACAATTGGAATTTGAAATTAAAAGCTCAAGAGCATTTATATTAGCACCCCAAAAAATAAAATACTTAGGCATAAACCTAACAAAATATGTACAGGATCTGTACGAGGAAAACTGTAAAACTCAGATAAAAGAAATAAAAGAGCTTAATAAATGAAGAGATAGTCCATATTCATGGACTGGAAAACTTAATATTGTTAAGATGTCAGTTATTCCCAATTTAATCTATAAATTCAGTGCAATCCCAATCAAAATCCCTGCACGTTGTTTTGTGGATATTGACAAACTAATTCTAAAGTTTATATGGAAACACAAAAGACCCAGAATAGCCAGCACAATATTGAAGAAGAAAGTAAAAGGACTGGCTCTACCCAACATTAATATGCCCTGGTAGCACAGTGGTTAAAAGTTTGGCTGCTAACCAAAGGTCGGCAGTTCAAATCCACCAGCTGCCCCTTGGAAACCCTGGTTATGTCCTTTAGGGTCGCTATGATTCGAAATCAACTCAGTGGCATACAACAATCAGTGTGGTATTCAGAAAAACCAGAACACAGTTCATGAGAATGTTGGCACATTGTGAAAAATGTAAATAAGGTCACTGAACAACTTGTGTAGAAATT